TGGACTATCGGTCTTGAGGATGGCTCTGCGGGTATGACCCACTCCTCCCCCTTCACCACAATCAGGACCCGCCCACCCGACCTAGGCAGGGGTGTGAGCAGCAGGCCCCCATGGGAAGGTGCTGTATCCAGACGGAAAGAGGCATTCACCACACTGATTCTTTGGGGTCCACTCTAGAAATGTTTCCCTTATTTTTTGGAGAGGTTTTTGCTATAGGGTGCGTGTGCTCGCCAGACAGACAGAAACAGAGAGACAGAGAGGAATCACCTCCCGGGGGGACGGCCACGCCACAATCCCTTCTCCTCCATTCTCTTCCCGGGATCTTGGGTATGCATGCACATGCGCCTGGCCTGAGTTTAAGCCACTGGGTCTGGGCTCGAACAGCAGTCGACTACGTGGGAGTCCAGCAACACAGCCATTACACCAACTGCTGGTCCCTAGAAATGCTTTGCTATGACTCACGATCCCCGGCTGAGTACAGAGAAAAGTTAACTCGCTGAATAGGTAAATGCAATTTAACGCTGCTGGGTCTGCCCTAGTGGCGCTAAGTCACACTCATTGATGCCAAGTGTGGGCTTCAGCAGTTTCCCAAGGGGGACAGTCAGACCCTGCCCTGTCCTTGGGGAAGCGAGCGCCCAGTAGCCTGGCACACAGCGAGCCTGGCGCCCGACCATCAAGGACTGACCGTCGCCAGGTCCAGCGGCGTCTGGCCCTCCTGGTTCTTCATGGTGGGGTCCGCGCCGTGGGCCAGGAGCAGCGCGCACAGCTGAGTCCTCCCCTTCTGGGCAGCTTCGTGCAGAGGGGTGAACGCCCACTTGTCGGTCGCATTCACACACGTGTTGTGCTTGATTAGCAGGGCGGCAATGTCCACGTGCTACGGAAACAAGGGCGAGGCGTAAAGACAAGGACCTTCGGGCAGGTCCACTCCCTCTGCACCTGCATCTTCAGCCTCAGTGGCAATTTCCGCTAAAGAAACGAATGAGGCCAGCAGGTGGCATGTGGTTAGGGATGGACCTGTCTTGCCAGCTCTGTGGTTTGAACTCTGGCCCTGGCGGCCTGAGAAACATGACGGGTGTGTGTGTGTGCATGCCCACAATCCCCAGGGAAGACTGGAAAAGGGACCGAGGTGTGGCTCCCCCAGGGAGTGACTTATCACTTTCCCTCTTTCTTTGTTGCTCTGGTGAGCACACACACCCTACGGCAAAAACGTTTATAAAAGATAGAAAAGGTACCTTCCCCTTACCGCAGGCTGGGAAGTGCTAGTGAGAGCCCAGGGGCTCCGAGCTGAGTGTCTGAGCAGGCCGGGGTCCCACCTGCCCTGGCACACTTACCCCGTAAGAGGCCGCATTGTGTAGGGGGATCAGCCCACCCTTGTCCTGGGCGTTGACGTCGGCTCCGTGCTCGAGGAGGTACTCGGCGACCTCCAGGTTATTGTAGCCTGCTGTCAGAGCAGAAAGGCAGGCGTGTCAGCACAAGGGAGTACACACGTCTGGTCCAAGTGCCCTGCATGGACACAGACCACCACCACACGGGCCAGACACTCCGCTGAGCCCACTGAAGCCCTGGTGAGGTGGTGCCTCTAGTGGGCAGTGCTGGCCAGGCCTCACCTGCCAGGTGCAGCGGAGTGGAGTTCCGGCCCTGTGTGTCCCTGCAGTTGATGTTCTCGGGCGTGCACAGTTTCTGCACTCGCGCCAGGCAGCCCTTCTTGGCCGCGTCCAGCAGGGCGGCGTCCCCGCGCAGCAGGTCCTGAATGTCCGTGTCGCCCTCCTTCACCAGATCCAGAGGTGTGTTTCCATCCCTATTCTTCTTGGTCGGGTCTGCTCCGTGCTGCGAGGAAGAGACCATACATGGGGCTTGTGCCTTCCAGGGGTCTTGGGGAGGCCGTGGGTGGGCCAGGCAAGGGCACTCTCCGCCTAGCTCACTCCAGCGCCGCCGCCGACAGAGCACAGGCAATGGTCCCACACTTGTGTTTTTACCTGCAAACCTGCCCAGCCACCTGCGGTCAGCCTTCCGCCCCCTCCCCGCCCCACTGGCATGTGATGACGTGGGGGGCATGGGTGAGCTCTTTTACTAAGCTTCATAGGATTCACTTTTCCTCAGACTCCAGCTGTCTTTGGAAACCCCTTTGGCTCTTGAGAATGGCTGGACGCAGGACCAGCAGAAGGCGTGACAGTTATGTCACTGGACTCCCACACAGTCGACTGCAGTTTGAGCCCCAGACCCGGCGGCTTAAAACTCATGTTGGGTGGGTGCACGTGCGTTCGTGCCCAAGATTCCAAGAGGAGAAGGGAGAAGGGACTGTGGCATGGCCATCCCCCCTGGGGGATGATTTCTCGCTTTCTGTCTGTCTCTATCTTTCTGGCAAACGTGTACATCCTACAGCTAAAAGTTCCACCCCCCTCCCCCAAAGAAAAAGCCAGATGCTAATTGTGACCCGTGTTCTACCTCACCAAGATACCCAGGAGCACCGTGAGAGAGCCCACAATTCTATCGACAATGCCACCAGCAGGAGGTCGCTCCTGTTTCTGTGGACGAGTCTCCCACCGGCCAGGAAGCAGTGAGACACACGGATCTACCTTGGCTCCACCACAGGACACACAGATGCAAAGGGCGGCCCAGCCTGGCCCTGGCCCAGACCGAGTGCCGCCAGCCCGTGGCAAGGCAGGCAAGCGGCCAGGCCAGGCTGGCGACCGCAGAGCACACTGGCCCCACAGCAGCATGGCAGGGGGCACCTTTTTCTCAAGACTCCTAAAAACATACCCATACCGGGAAGAGGTGGGATGAGCCTTACATCTGACCTGAACAAATGCGCTCTGGAAGAAAAGGGACCACACCAACATGCAAGTGGCCATTTTTTACATCTTTAACTTAGAAAGAACAAAAAATCATCAATCGTGTCATGAAACTGGAACTTTACTATTTCATATATATCCCCAAATCTATATGAATAGTGTCTAGAGATGAACCTGTATTTAACAAAAACATATTCAAGTCAGTTCTCCCCAGATGCGGATGTGTGAATGTCAGGATGAGAAGTGAGTTCTCTGTGGTGCTGGCCAGTCTGCCTGAAAACTGGCCTCCCTTATAACCCCGACATAACACTGCACCTGGGGCTTGAGCAACACAGGCTGGGCCAGCCCCTCCCACAGCCCACCTCGAAGACCCCCGACCAAACTCGGGAAGATGGTCCAGACAGCTGCTCCGGCACCACTTGGCTATGGGTGCCAGACACCGGGCTCAGGAGCGCTCCTGACAGGGTGGCATGCTCCTTTCTGTACCGGCAACACACCCAGTCCGCCCGCAGGGAGGAGGAGCTGACCTTCAGGAGGAGCTTGCAGATCTCGTACTTCCCCTTGGCGGCTGCCTCGTGAAGGGGGGTGAACTTCCACAGGTCGGCCACGTTGACAGAGGCCCCGTGCCTCACCAGGAGCTCAGCCACCTCATAGTGTCCGTAGGAGCAGGCGTTGTGGAGGGGCACCAGGCCACTGCGAGAGAGCACATGTGGTCAGGGGCACATCAGGGAGCCAAGCAACTCGGGGCAGCAGAATGCCTTTCTCCTCAGCACCGACCACACCGAACACCCACTCTGCAGGAACCAGCTCTCCTCTGGTCTTCAAAAAAATCTTGTTGTTTCTTTAGTGAGAGGGAGACAGGGAGAGAAAGGTACCCCACAGGGTCTTCCTGCCTGGGCCACTCCACCCTGGCCTCTGTGGGCCTGGATCATAGCACACGCGGGACACGCATAGGAGACCGGGGCAAAGCCTGACCCCGCCATGACTGAGTGGTGCTTCCGCCACGCCCCACAGCTGGACCCCCTGGTGTTTAAAACCTGGCCGCTTCTAAGTAAGGATGAGCAGTGTTTAAGACGCCCTATTCACCCGAAGGACTTTGCTCAGGTCCTCGGGTACGGATGGGTGTCAGCAAGCTTCGGCGGTACTGCACACAGAAATACGCCCCAGACACACTTCGAGCCAGACCCCGCAGGGTAAGGAGAGAAGCCACATGGGTTGGGTGTCCCATCAGCAGTCTGGCTCTGCCACCTCTCAACCTTCCGTCCGGAGTTCACTCACGGAAACCATGTGCTTTACTTATAAAGTACAGCACGACTCGGCTTCCGTACGTGGGCAACCCGTGTCTTTGTGTTTCTGTCGTTTTAACGCCTAATGATTCTGTGGTGGAGCCGTGCAATGAACATTCAACCCGAGTGACTCAGGGAAGTGCCCCACAGGGACAGGATGCCCTCAGCGTGACCTGATCCAGTGACTGTCCAGTTGCAGGATGGCCGGCAGACCGCCCCGGGACGGTCTGCGCTCGGAAGCAGACAGCATGCTAAAGGGCAACGGCTGCTATGAACACGGGTGTGTCAAAGCCCACATTCCCCCTGCAGCTAGGACAAGGCGAGGTGGCAGCGTCTTTTTATTCAGAGATCAGTGCCCTTAAGAAAATGTCTTCTAGGAAGCCTATGAAGGGCTACGATGGAGGACAGAGGCGGAGGCTGAGGCTGGCCGTCCTCTGGTGTGCCGCGACAGTCAAGAACCTCCGCTGTTCTACTGGAACCGTCTAGTCTGTCCCTTTACCAAGAAGCGTGACACAGTGGCCAGTGTGCGAGAGCCCGCGGCACCAACGTGACTGCACCGAGCCAGACTGAGCCGCTGTGCCATCAACCCTGAGGTCAAAGCTCATCCAGCTGGAAGTCCCTCCTCACAAGCCCAGCAGCTTCTGTGACCGTTCCACTTCATCTAGGCACACCTGACAACTGAGCGACTAACAGAGACTACGAGGCACCTGAGTTACAAAAACAGAGCCCTTCCTATCAACAGTGCTGATGGGGTGGACGGCTCCCTTCTAGAAGAGAGCACCCACTTCACAGCAAGCAGCTCAAAGGGGCTGGCCCGAGTGCACCCGGAGGTGCTGCAGAGCACGGGGGGAGCCATGAGCAGCGAGACGTGACGCGGCTGAGCTGACGGCAGGCTCTGCACCCCGTAGCGCAGGGACACACAGAGCCGCGCAGGCTGCACCTACCCCTTGTCTTTGGCATGGACATCAGCGCCGTGGTGCAGAAGGTATTCCACGACAGACACGCGGTTGTAGCCTGCCGCGAAGTGCAGAGGCGTCGAGTGGCGGCCCTCCAGATCCCTGCAGTTCACGTTCTGAGGGCTGCAGAGTTGCTGCACGGGACAAGCAGAGAGAGAAACACAAGTGTGTCAGTGTCCGTTCGCGGATTCTGCTCCAAGTCGTGCAGCACCTCGGCTCACGGGCATTCTGACATCCACACACGACACCACGGCGATGCTCTGAACCCAGAGGCGTGTGTGGCCTGTCCAGTCAGGCAGAGAGCCCACACCATCCCCATCCGTTCCCGTCCCCGAGGTGCCTGGTGGCCTGTGGCCGGCTGACGGGGAACCAGCGCCTCGCCTCCCGCTGCCCAGGGACCGACCGTGCGCGGGCTGTGAGAAACGGTCTCTGCCCGGGCCCCAGCATGGCCCTCGCCCCTGGTGGGGCTCACTCCACAGGTCGAACTGCTCTGCGCCGCTCTGAGCGCTGGCCGTTGCCCGTGTCCCCTCCGCCTCTCGTCGTGCCCTCTCGTCTGCAGG